CATACATGCAATGTCACAGCGAATGTCCAAGGCAAGTCTAGTTCCACGAGTCCTTCCTCTAAGCAACATGGGGTATGCTGGCAAGGAAATTTCGATGCGTCATTCCTATTTGGCAATGGCCCTCAGCAGAGAATAAGATAAATGTATCCATAGTAATGGACCTTCTTGCCAAAATACTCTTGTAGGAATATTTTTTGCTGGTAGTACAATAAATAATAAAGGCAAACTTATATCAATTCTATCCAAATGCATATTTTCCATATATGTTTCAATGATTTTTAATGTCTTTCTTGCTTCAGACATTAACATGCAGGGTGAATATGGATCTGATGGACCTTTTAGGATATCAAATAAAGGTCCCAACTCTCCTGTTGGTATGCCTAGATAAGGCCTTATCCAACTTATGTCTCCTAATAACTTTTGAAAGTCGTTAAGTGATTTGAGTTGATCTACTCGTATTTGAATTTTTGGTGGATGGACCATGGTCGAAGATAATAGAACTCCTAAATAATTAATTGGAAAATTTAATTGTACTTTATCTATTGCTATCTCTAGATTATAATTTTTTAATAAGTTTGTAAGTGTGGCATAACATTTTAGCAATGTGTTTTTATCTTTGTGTGGTAATAATACATTGTACATATAGTGAAATATTTGTAGTTCAGGATTTTGATTTCTCAGTGGCTGGATTGCTTTGTTAACATAAATTTGACACATAGTTGGGCTGTTAGCCATCCCTTGAGGTAGTACTTTCCATTCATATCTCTGATCTGGACCTTCATGATTCAGCGCAGGGACAGTAAATGCAAAACGTGGACTATCCTCAGGATGAATTGGAATTGAAAAAAAATCTTTAATATCTATAACTTAAACATACCAGGTTTTTGGCAAAGCAGACAATTGAGGAATCCCCGATTGAGCAGGTCCCATAATAACCATCTTGTTATTAATAGCTCTTAAATCTTGCAGTAATCTCCATTTACCAGATTTCTTTTTGATGACAAAAATGAGAGTATTTTAGGGAGATACAGAAGGTTGTATATGTCCCTCTGCTTATTGTTGTTTGACCAGGTCATGGGCTGCTTGTATCTTTTCTTTAGTCAGGGGCCACTGAGGAACCCATACTGGTCTTTCTGATTTCCAAGTAATTTTTATTGTCTCAGTGACCCCTCCTGAAAACCCAATCCATGTCTATCTATTTCTTGATCTATTTGTATTGGTGCCACTATACTTTGTCCTTTTTCTCCTAATCCTTTTCCTTTCCTAAAACCTTGTTTAGCCATAATAGTGGGCACATTTGAATTGATGTTATTTGTTAATGTTAGTCCTAATTATCTAGGACATCTTGTCCCCATAAATTTATAGAAAGATGATCCAATACATATGGCTGTATAGTTCCTTCACATCCTTTAGGATCCTTCCAATCTAATACCATCACATGTCTATCGGGAATAGTTGCCACTCCTAGTCCTTGAAGCGTTTGAGTGGCTTATTGTTATGGCCAATGTTTTGGCCATTCTTGATGAGAGATAATGCTAAGGTCTGCACCTGTATCTAGTAGCCCATTAAATTCATGTCCTTGAATATTTAGTTTTAGCATGGGGCAAGAATCTAAATTTAAAGAAAGCATAGCCCAATCTACACCTGTGGAGCCTAATCCCCTGGAACCTCTTTCTATAGTATGGCTGTAAAATTTACCATGTAGGCTGGGTATTATTAATAACTGTGCTATTCTATCTCCTGGTGAAATTACTGATATGCCCCTTGGAGAACTGGCTATAATTTCTATTTCACCTTCATATTTGGGATCAATTACCCCAGGACTTATAAGTCCTTTTAGAGTAGAAGAACTGCATCCTAATAATAAGCCTACTGTTCCTTGGGGAAGAGGTCCTTTTACCCCTGTGGGAATGATTTGAACTCCCATCTCTGGAGTTAGTACTGCTCTGGCGGAGGCGCAGATGTCCAACCCTGTGCTCCCTCTGGTTTGTCTAATGAGGGATCTAATGGATAATGTGTCCTGGGCACTACCCTGATGGTGTTGCTGGGTTCCTCCAATGCCTCATATATTTGTGGTCATGGGCCCTGGAGCATTGGGCCCCCCTGTCTGTTTTTTGGCAATGGAGCCCAATGCTTTTCTCCACTATATTGTGGGTAAACCTCTGGTCCTTGTCCATTTTTTTATAATGAAGTACCATCTATAGTGGTTTGAGAACAGCATTCATTATCCCAATGTCTCCCTCTAGGCATCGTGGGCAAATACCTAGTATTCTACCCCTTTGATCATATCCAGTTTTGTTAAACCCTACTGTTCAGCTCCTTCTAAAATGTCCTGTTTGTCCACAATTGTAGCATGTTTTTGGCCTGGCACCTAAAGCCTGTTTTACTGCAGCTGCCAAGACTTGCCTTTGTTCATTAATGTCTCTGCATATTTTAATATATGTGTTTAAATCTCCATGTTTCCATGGTCTAATGGCCTCCCTGCACCATAATGGTAATGTGCCAACTGGCAGAATTCTTGGGCTTTCCTTTTCTACTCTTTTTAAATCTTCACCATGATGGTTCCTTTGTGATATATTTAACAACCTCTCTTTAATGAACCATGGGCTACACCTTTGTATCGTCTTAACGTATGCCCTAACTGTTCTTGATTTTACTGAGATGCCTCCTTCCTCTAGCAATTTACTTAACACCTTTTTGGTTTGGTTTTTACTAATTTTTAATTCCTTATTTCTGCTATAAAGATAACGCAACCCAACAAGATAATACAAAACAAAACCGAAACAAAATGGAACAAAAATTCGTTGTATCAGTTTTTCTATTTTCTTGACATGTGTATCCGTGGTCTATCTCTATCTCTTCCTCAGGGCCGAACTACTTTTCTAGCATCCTATTTATTTCTAGGGGCAGGCATCTTGAAACAGAAAGGTAACAAATCAAAACAAGAACACATTGTTTTTTGAAATGGTCACCCATTCTCTCGCCCTGACCTCAGGGGCGAGCAGTTTCACTTACCTCCAAGCTTCAGGCGTTCCCCGTATGGGCCACCAAATGCTGCAGTCTGGCTGGGCACAAATAACCGGGAGGCCACAAGCCACTTGTAGGTTCAAACAGGAACTACTTTATTGCCTGAACCCAATGGGAAATCCACCGGAACTCAGCGGAAACTCCGCGAGAACCAATGGGAACTCAACGGGAACTCAACAGGAACTCTTCGAGAACTCAAAAGTAGCAGGCACCCGAGGTAGCAGGAGCCGCCTTATTGCCGGATAGCAGAGGTTTATATACACAACTGAATACATAGCTTGTTTCAAGTTAGCATAAGCCAGTTATATCAGTCATTATCTTAATAATTATACACAGCTTAACTTAATTATCATCATCTTAATGGCTTGCTGGCGTTACTTCTCAACCACTCCTCTGGCAAAATGCCAGGCGCCATATTGATTTGGTTGTGGCTCTCAACACAAATCTACTCTTAAGATTTCATCTTACTCCAGTCAGAATGGCAGTTATCAAGAATACAAGCAACAATAAGTTTTGGGGAGGATATGGGGAAAAAGGCACACTCATGCATTGATGGGGGGACTACAAATTAGTGCAACCAATCCAGAATCAGTATGGAGATTCCTTGGAACCAATTTGGAATGGAACCACATTTGACCCAGCCATTCCACTCCTTAGTCTATACCCTAAAGACTTATAAAGAGCATACTACAGCAACACAGCCACTTCAATGTTCATAGCAGCACAATTCTAAATTGTTAACCTGTGGAAGTAACCTAGATGTCCTTCAATAGATGAATGGAAAAAGAAACTGTGATACATATATACAATGAAATATTACTCAGCATTAAAAGAGAATAAAGTTATGGCATTTGCAGGTAAATGATAGAGTTGGAGAATATCATGCTAAGTGAAATAAGTCAATCTGAAAAACCAAGAGCTGAATGTTTTCTCTAATAAGTGGATGCTAATCCATATGGAGGGGGTTCATGGGATAAGTGGAGAAACTTTAAATGGGACAAAGGGAAGTGGAGAGAGGGCAAAGGGGTAGGAAAGATGGTGGAATGAGACAGACATCATTAGCCTAGATATGATTACACAAATGTATGTTACATGTTTCATGTAGGATTACACAAACTCTAATTCATACACAACCAGAGTAGTGGAAAATTCTGCTCCATTTGTATATAATTAATCAAAGATCTTTCTATTGTCATGTATAATTGATTACAACTAATAAACAAACAAACAAACAAACCAAGGACATTCTTCACAAAGCTAGAAAAACTAATCCTACAACTCATAAGAAAGAACAAAATATCCAGAACAGCTGAAGAAATCCTGAGCAAAAAAGAGCACCACAATACCTTACTTCAAAATATACTTCAGAGTCAAAATAACAAAAATTGCATGGTATTAGCATAAAAGCAGATACATAGACCAGTGGAATAGAATAGAGGAAACAGAACTAAACCCACAGAGCTAAAACCATCTAATTCTTGCCAAAGTGTTAAAAACATACATAGGACAAAAGGCAGCCTATTCACAAATGGTGCAGGAAAAGTAGATATCCACATGTAGAAGATTGAAACTAGACTCTTGTCTCTTATTATGTACAACAATAAATTCAAAATGAATGATAGACCCAAATATAAGGCCCGAACCTTTGAAACTACTAGAAGAAAATTGTTTTAGTCAACTTTTGCACTGCTGTGACTAAAGGATATGACCAGAACAATTGTAGAGGAGGAAGAGTTTTTTTAAGAGCTTATGATTTCAGAGGTCCACAGATAGTTCCATTCCTCTGGGTTTGAGGTGAGGCAGGACATCTGGCTGGAGTGAAACAGTTCACATCATTGCAATCAGGAAGGAGAGAGAGAGAGAGAGAGAGAGAGAGAGAGAGAGAGAGAGAGAGAGAGAGAGAGAACTCCACTCTCCAGATACACATATATATATATACCTCATAGCCACTCCCTGATTCCCATCTCCTCCAGCCACATCCTACCACTTCAGTTAATTCCATCAAGGATTATTTCACTGACTAGGTTAAGATTTTACAATACAATCATTTCTCCTCTGAACCTTCCTACATTGTCTCATGCATGAGCTTTTCTGGGGGACACCTCACATCCAAACCATAACAAAAAGTAGGGGGAGCATTTCAAGATATAAGCACAGGCCAAGATCATTGCCGAAGATGCCAGTGGACCAACCATTCCAGAAGCTGGTAAGATTCTCCTGGAGAGGGACACATGATGATTATTCCCAGTATCTTCTTAAATGTCGGCAGTGTCTTATTTTGAGTGGCTGAAAAATAAGAATCATGTCAGCTATGGCCGATTAACCTTCAATTATGAAAGGGATTCTGATTATCACTTGCTCATATCTGTTCTAGAAAGTTTAGAAGGAAAATTTGTTAAGCATGGTGGAACAATTCTTGTCATTCTCACTACAGAGTTCCAGAACAGAATATCAGGTACATAAGAGAAAGACATTGTGCATTCTGGCTTGGTCTACACCATGGAGTGTTCAGACAGGCAAATTATGCATATAACCATGAAGTATAATCTGAGCTTTGACCTGAAAATAGCTGCCTATGTTACTGCCATTGAAAAAGTTTTCGAAGTGTACAACAAAGCTAACATGACTTTCACATAGATGGATCGTGGCTAACTTCCTCACCATCCTCTTTATCTGTAACTTCTGTTGACCTATCACAAGTTTATATGTAATTTTTACAGAAATTTTTCTCTCATGAATCATTAAATAGCAGACACTGGTCTCAACAAGTCAATCCAAACCAGCCCTTAAAAAGAAAGAAATTAAGTTTAGGGGATCATGTTCAATCTGATGAGTGTGAAAGTAGAAATCACCTATTTCAGAGAGTCTTTCAGGCATTTTGCTATTAAATAAAAAGTCTCTTCTATCTGACTGTGCTGTCTTGTTCCAGGGCTCTTCTCAACACACTTAGTGCTATTGCCAGGGAAAACAGTCAAGAACAGTCACTCATTTTTCTCTGGGCAAGTTTGGAACATGCTGTAACTTTGACACATGTGAGAATGAGATGTATGGTATTTTCAGAAGGTGGCATGGTCCTCAAATGAGTTATTGGTATTTTACATCTGCATAATAATAACTCAATTTTACAAGTTGCAAACAAAAATAAAAGCTGTGTCATGTGCATTTTATTCTCATAGAATAAAATTTGTAATGCTGCTGTAATAAAATTGCCTTGAATCACTTAATAAGCCTAACCTTGACTCAAGCAGTGAATGCCTACAAACATAGCAAATGAAGAAAGCTAGTATTTTTATAACATGAAGCAGTATCATTTATAGCTTATCAGTCATGTATTGTTCAGCAAAATAAAGAGCCTGACTGAGGTCTGTCTTCATACTTGGTGACATTGGAGGTTATGTTTGTTAAGACTATCAGAATTTGCTAACTACTATTATGCTATGTAGCCCAAAAAATGTAATAACATCCTTTCATGTTAATTAATTATTCTTCCCTTTTGAAGATCTACCTTGTTGACTAATTGAACCATAATCCAAGTGGAGTATCCCAGGAAAAACCAGTGGGCTCCCTGTTGGGGGTCCAGCTGGCTCTGAGCACTGCTGGTGGCCCCGACTCATCCTGACTGTGTCCTCTCCTTCTGGAGGCTTTGCATTCTGCACCCAGCTTTATTAACAGCAGGCTGAAAATGACATAGGTTTTAGCGTGTAGAGAGTTTTTTGGCCAGGGCCTTTTAAGCAGTAGTGTTCCAATGAAGTACTAGATATTTATATAAGAAAGAATGCTTTTTAAAAAAATACAATAATGTCCTTTCACAAATTTCTAAGTACTTTGTAACTGAATGAATTAACATGGTGATAAAAGCAGTTATTAAAAGTTTACCTTTTTCAAAGTCAAAAAAGTAGATACAGGCACAGGCAACAGCCTTCTGACTCCATAGCTTTAGGAAATAATAAAAAGAATCAATAAATGGGATTGCATAAAATTAGAGTTTCTGCACAGCAAAGAAAATCATTAACAGCATGAAGAGAGACCCTACAGGATGGGAAAAAAATTTCCCAGCTATTCTTCTGACTGACAGTTAATATCCAGAATATATGCTGAACTAAAAAACTTAAAACAACAACAACAATAAAAACAAATAACCCAATCAATAAATGGGAAATGAACTGAACACTTTTCAATAGAAGTGCAAATGGCCAATGTCAGTTTAATATTGTTAGCCATTAAGGAAATGCAAGTTAAAACTACATTGAGATTCCATTTTACTTCAGTCCTAATGGCTATCATCAAGAACACATACACATACACACACAATACAATAAATGCTTGCAACCTTATTGATGGAGAAAGGAATCCTTATACATTGTTGGCAGGAATTTAAATTAGTACAACCACTATGGAAATCAGTATGAAAGTTCCTCAAGAAAACTAAAAATAAAACTATCATAGAATCCAGCTATACCATTTCTTGGTATATATTGAAAAGAATTAAATTCAGCATTCTATTAAGATACTTGCATACCTATGTTTATCATGGCACAATTCACAATGCCAAGTTATGTAATAAGCCTAGGTGCCCATCAAGAGATGAATGGATAAAGAAAATGGAGTATTATTCAGCTACAAAGAAGAATGAAATCATGTTTTTTTTTTCAGGAGAATGGATGGAACTGGAGATCATCATGCTAAGTGAAATATGCTAACCTCAAAAAAAATATTGCATGTTTTCTCTCATATGTGGAGTCTAAGGGTAAAAAGACAACATGAAAGTAAAAGAGAGACTCTTAGAGAAAGAAAAGGGATCAGGTAGGGGAAAGGGAAAGGTAGTGGGTAAAGGGGGATGGAAATAATTCAAGTAAATTATATGCATGTGTGAATATGCCACAATGAAACTTCTGAATAACTACTATGCACAAATAAAAATAGAAGGTATAAATAAATCTCTTAGAGGTTAACCAAAGAGATTGAAATTTATATGAATTGAATTGAGAAGTAGCATTTTTGTGCCTGGTTTATTTCACTTAACATAATATCCTCCAGGTTCATTCATGTTGTCAAAATGATAGAATTTCCTTCTTTTTATGGTCAAATATATTCCAATGTGTTTACATACTTTATTTTGTTTATATATGTATTATTGGTAGACATTTAGGTTGATCCCACATCTTGGCTATTGTCTACAATCCTGCAATAAACACTGGAGTGCAGATACCTCTTTAACATACTGATTTCATTTCCTTTGGGTGTATACCTAGTAGTTGGTTTGATGGATCATATGGTAGTTCTAGTTTTAATTTTTGGAGTACTTTCTATGATCTTTTCAATAATTACACAATCTCATTCATATGTGAAATATTAAAGTGTTAACTTCATGGAACTTGAGAGTAGAATTGTGATCACCAGGAGCTTAGCTGGGAGCAGGGGTTTGGGGATATGTTTGTCAAAGGACATACAATTTCAGTTAGAAGGAATAAGTTCAAGAGATCTATTATGCTACATAGTAACCATAGTTAATAACAATATATTGCATTCTTTTTTAAAAGAAGTTTTTGTTTTTAGTAGTGGCTTATAGTTTTATATAATTGTGGGGTTTGACATATTCATGAATGCATATAACAGTTTACTCCATTTCAATCCCCAGTAATCCCCTCTTCTCTCCCTTCCTTCCACCTCTGGTCCTCTATCTCTATTATGTTGGTCTTCCATCTACTGGTTTATTTTTAATTGGTGCGTTATATTTATACATAAATGTGAAATTCATTGTGATATATTCATACATACACATATAGTGTAATTTGGTTAGTTTCATTCCATAGTTCCTCCCCTTTCCCATCCCTCCTCCTTCCCTCTTGATACCCTTCCTTTATTCCATTTTCCTCCTTCCTATTTTCATAAGATTCCCTTTTTTAAAAAATTACTTATTTCTCTCAAGCCTCCACATGACGGAAAACATTTAACCCTTGACTTTCTGAGTTTGGTTTATATCATCTTGACATGATATTCTCCAGTTCCATATATTCTCCTGGAAATGACATGATTCAATTCTTCTTTATGGTTGAATAAAACTCCATTATGTATGTATGTATGTGTGTGTGTGTGTGTGTGTGTGTGTGTGTGTGTGTATGTGTATTCTGAATATTAATCTCCTGTCAGAAGTGTAGCTGGCAAAGATTTTATTTCACTCTGTAGGCTCTCCATTCATGTTTTTAATTGTTTCCTTTGCTGTCCAGTAGAAAAAGCAGCATTTCTTGTTTGTCAGTTTATATATTTTTTGGTGCTGGGATTGAGCCATGTATTTTTTTTAATTTATAGGGCTTTGTGGGGGAGGAGTACAAGGGATCAAACTCAGGGGCTCTCACATGCTAGACAAGTACTCTCAAGATCTCACTAAGATGCTCAGGCTAGCCTCAAATTTATGATCCTCTTGTCTCAGCCTCTCTATCTAGGATTACAGTTATGTGCTATCACATTTAGCTTAATTTATGTTTTTTAATGAATTATGTGGAAATTGATTTATTAAATTTCCCTAAGAGGTCAGAAGCTTCTGCATAACTGTGAATCACTGGAATAAATATTTCTCTTTCCAAAACTCCTTTTTTTGATGATACTAAATAACATAAGTGGGTCATATACTCTATATTTTCTCTATCCAAATTGATTAAGGTTATTCTCTGTAGACATATATTGACTATATATAAATATGCCTCTTCTCTAACTTGTAAAGAAATACTCTGGACTCAAATTCACAATATAAAAAGAACTAATACAAATCAATAGGAAAAAAGACAAACACTGGCCAAGGGAATTGTTAGTTGTATTCTTGATGATTGCTATTCTAACTGAAGTGAGAAGAAATCTCAGTGTAGTTTTGATTTGCATTTCACAGACCACTAAATGTTTATTTTGAGTTTTGAAAAAATGGGCAAAGGCAATTGAGCAGAAACTTCCAAAAAATAAAAAGATAAGTAAATGGATGAAAAATGTATTAAATAGTGCTCTACCTCACCAGTAGTTAATAAGCAGAGAAATGCAAACTAAACAATGAGATCTGAACACTTACACTCACCAGGATGGGGAGAATTTTAGAAGACTAGTAAGGTAAATTGCCATGATTTGAATATGGCTTGTTCATTGCAAAAGTCATGTTGAAATACTATCCTCTTCTCTTCCTGGGGGAGGAGAGAAAGGAAAGGGGGAGTACCAGAGAGTAAATCAAATTCCATGCCTGTATGATTATGTCAAAATGAACCCAACTATTATTACAGATTACTGCACTAATAAAAGAATAAGCTTAAAGAAAAATTTTAAAAGAATGCAATCCTCACGATAAGATATTAATAGGTAGGACCACAGGAAACTTTTAGGAGGTTATTCATGAGATTAATAGATTAATGGGTTATTCCAAGAGTAGGTAGGTCTTGAGATTTTAAAAAGAAGCCAATTTGGAACAGATGTGCTTTTACTCTCTGCCTCTCTTGCTGTGTGATCTCTGCATTGCCCAGAACTCTGCCAGCAGGTTGTTCACCACCAGATGTGACTCCTTGACGTTGAACTAGAATTATGACTCAAACATCTTTTCTTTATAAATTACCCTATCTGTGTTATTGTATTATTAACGACAGAAAAAAAAAGACCAAGACATAAAGTGTTTGAAAGAATGTGAACAATTAGAATTTACACTCCTGATGACAGTATAATTGATATAACCTTTTAGAAAGCAGTTTGGAAATACCAGGTAAAGCTGAAAAAGAACATACCTTATGACATCAGAGTAACTTCTAGGTATATACTTTCCCCCTTCAAAATGTGTATACATGTTCACAAAATTATATATATATAAAATATAGTATAATAGAATGGGTAAATGAACTTCGATGTCCAGGAGATGGCTTTATATTCAGTGATAGGCCATAGTGTTCTATTGAACAAAAATAATTTCAGTTTCACTAACATCAGGAAATGTTACTTTACTATGGTGATGGTTAAGAGAAAAAAAGAACACCCCACAATTTTGTCTAAATACAGACAAAAAGGGCATAATCCAATCCATAGAAATGACCAAACATCTCTATCCTGTCCAATATTAGTAACTAACTTATTTGCCAGTAAAAATGTTAGTCTTGCCCTGTTTGCTTCATCTTCTGCATAAGAATTATTAATATACTACCATAGAATTAACCTAACTTATGACAGTATCCAATCTGGAGCAAAGTCCTACTTCAAATCTCTTCCAAACCACCAAATATAAAACCAAATACCATTATGTTCTTTATTATAACTTTCTTATTTAGATGCCTCATTATCTACTATAGTGTGTAGTTTATCCTGTTGTAGTAAGTCAATCAATATAACTTTGTTCAAATACAGGTGTTAATGATGGTCTTTGTTGAAGGACACTGACAATACACACAGGAATTCTATAAAGTGGTAATGAAAGTGAATCAAATAGAGCTAAACACAACAACATCAATCTCACATTGAGCTAAATAATGAGGGAAAGAGACTAGATTCAAAGAATTATCTGCTATACACTTTAGATATAATTTTGAGGCAAAACTAAATAGTTTAAAACATACACTTAAGCAAGTGTTAAGATATCTGATAGATTGAGGGGTTCCAGGAACTCCTTCATGTCAGGATGTCGTTAATATTTTGTACACTTCGTTTTCATTCACTTTGATCTCATTTGAAAAATATGATTTTGGCTTATCTTATGTGACATTATTTGTATAGCATCTAGGATTGAAATGATGACCACAAATAAGAAATCAAATGCTTTGAATAATGAGCATGAGACAGAGTGTCAGAAGACAAGTTCTAGTTCTTACTCTATTATGAAGAGCTGAATGAACTGGTCAATAGACTTCATCACTTGGGACCTTAGTTTCTTCATCTGTTAAAAATAAAGTAATGGACTCTAAAATTTCATCTCATTCGAGTCAGAATGGCAGCTATCAAGAATACAAACAACAATACATGTTGTCGAGGATGTGGGGAAAAAGGCACACTCATGCATTGTTGGTGGGATTGCAGATTGGTGCAGTCAATATGGAAAGCAGTATGCAGATTCCTTGGAAATCTGGGAATGGAACCACCATTTGACTCAGCTATCCCTCTCCTAGGTCTATACACAAAGGACTTAAAAACAGCATACTACAGGGACACAGCCACATCAATGTTTATAGCAGTACAATTCACAATAGTTAAACTGTGGAGCCAACCTAGATGTCCTTCAGTGGATGAATGGATAAAAAATATGGCATATATACACAATGGAATTTTACTCAGCATTAAAAAAGAAGAAAATCATGGCATTTGCAGGTAAATGGATGGAGTTAGAGAAGATAATGCTAAGTGAAGTTAGCCAATCCTAAAACACAAATGCACGATGTTTTCTCTGATATAAGGAAGCTGACTCATAGTGGGGTAGGGAGGGACAGCATGGGAGGATTAGATGAACTCTAGATAGGGCAGAGAGGTGGGAGGGAAAGGGAGGTGACAGGGGATTAGCAAGGATGGTGGAATGTGATGGACATCATTATACAAAGTATATGTATGAACATTTGAATTGTGTGTCAACATACTTTATATACAAACAGAGATATGAAAAATTGTGGTATATATGTGTATTAAGAATTGTAATGCACTGATTCTGCAATCGGTATTTGGGGTAAAAATGGGAGTTCATAACCCACTTGAATCTAATGTATGAAATATGATACATCAAGAGCTTTGTAATGTTTTGAACTACCAATAATATATATATATATGTATATATGTATATATATACATATATATAAAGAATTGTAATGCAAAAAACAAAGTACATGTATAAAGGCATGAATTGGCATGAACATACTTTATATAGAGAGATATGAAAAATTGTGCTCTATATGTGTAATAAGAATTGTAATGCATTCCACTGCTGTCATGTATTTAAAAAAATAAAATCAATTTAAAAAACAAAAATTGCTCTATGTTTAATGTGAAATAAATTGCAATCTGCCATCATATATAACAAAATAGAATAAATAAATAATTTAATTAAAAACATATAAAACAAATAAAGTAATGGGAGGGAATTGGGGCTAATTTTTCTATTTTGAAATCCAAAGCCAAATATTCCTCTTCGTATGGTTTCCTCATTTGGCTTATTGAATTATCTGGGAAACAGTAATATATTGATTAAAGTATAGAAATGTGAAGTCAGACAAAATTAAATTGAATTTTATCTCTAACATTTACAAAGTAAGGGACCATAGGGTGTGACATAATTTTTCCTATTTCTGTTTTCTGGTCTTTTTTTTTTTTTTTAAAGAATGTCTTCCTTGTAGACTTGTTGCAAGGATTGAATTAAATAATACCTGTAAATCACTTTAACAGAGTGTTGGTACATAGAAAACATACCTAATAAATATTAGTGCCATAATAATCATAAGTGACAAGCAACAAGCTGCTTCCTAAGTATTTGAGGGTTCTGGAGCAAGGAATGGACTGAGGCCAGTTGTCTTACTCCCTTCTCAGTATATCCACTGGACCTCAGGTTCCTGAAGGACGTCTGCCTCTCCCCTTTTCTTTGCCTACTGACTTCTTCTTCTATTCTTTCCTGCTCTCCCTCACGTCTGCTGCTGTCTCCTGGATACCTCTGCTGCCTAATACATTTTGTTTGAGCTCCAGAAGACACCGCAGGGTCCTTTTTGCTATTTGCTGGGTCTCTGGGAGGACTGTGAAGCGTGCACATATAGCTTAAAGCGGTCCCTGTTTGCCCAAGGCTGCAGTGGCCCCAGCTGGCTAGCAAATACAGTGACGTCAGCTTGAACGAACATCCTCATTGGCTTCTCAATTCCCAAGGACTTTTTTTTTCCCCTGAAAGGGGATTAACAGGCGAGTCTACCGTTGCTTTGGCAACAAACTTCCAACCTCTGCCCAACTCTCCGGAATGAGAACATATCTATTAATACATTGGATAGACTGGAGTGTCGGGTTGCTCAAAGCAAAGTTGTTTTTTTTTTTTTTCCCAGTGTAAAACAGTGTACTAGTTCAGCGAGCCTTTGGTGGCGTTGCGATTAGAGATTAGTAAAGCGGCGAGCCCTGTTGAAGGAGCCTGTTGCGGAAAAGTGAAAGTATATTCTCAACAGGTGGCGGCGGCTGCAGGGAATGCAATTGTGGGAACTAATGGCGGTTGCGAGCAGAAAACCTTTGCAAAACAGGCAAGTGGCGACTCTTTTCCTTTTTTTGTGTGTATCTGTGGGGGATGCAGCCACCATCCGCTATTCGGTGGCAGAGGAAATGGAAAGCGGCTCGTTTGTAGCCAATGTGGCTAAGGACTTGGGGCTTGAGGTAGGGAAGCTGGTTGCGCGAGGGGCGAGGCTAGTTTCCGAGGGCAACAAGCTGCATTTCCGGCTCCACCGCAAGACCGGAGATTTGTTCGTGAAGGAAAAATTGGATCGGGAGTCACTTTGTGGCAAAGCTGACCCATGCGTTCTGCACTTTGAAATTGTCCTGGGAGAGCCGCTGCAGTCCTTCCGTGTGGAAGTCAGGGTATTTGATATCAATGACAATGCCCCAAGTTTTCAAAATAAGGAACCACTGTTAAAGATTCCGGAGAGCACTCCTTTGGGTTCGCGTTTTCCTCTGCAGAGCGCCCAGGATTTGGACGTGGGCCTCAACGGTCTCCAAAACTACACCCTAAGCACCAACGCATATTTTCACCTGCACACCCGCTTCCGGAGCCACGGGCCCAAATATGCCGAGCTAGTGCTGGATAAACCCCTGGATAGAGAGGAACAGGCTGAAGTTAACTTAACAATTACTGCGGTGGATGGAGGGTCCCCACCCAAGTCTGGCACTGCACACATCCGCGTGGTGGTTCTGGATGTCAATGACCACGTGCCCCAGTTCTCACGATTGGTGTATCGTGCTCAGGTACCAGAGAATAGCGCCAATGGTTCTTTGGTGGCTACAGTGACTGCCACGGATCTAGATGAGGGCACCAACAAGGAGATAACTTACTCTTTAGCTCAAAACCCAGAAGCAATTCTCCAGACATTTCAGATTGATTCTCATACTGGAGAGGTTCGGCTCCGAGAGCCACTAGATTTTGAAGCTACAGAAACATATGACATTGACATTCAAGCTACGGATGGAGGAGGACTCTCTGCCCACAGCAAAGTTCTGGTGGAAGTGATGGATGTAAATGACAATCCTCCTGAAGTGATGGTCTCCTCTGTGTCTAGCCCTCTGCCTGAGGACTCGCCACTACAGACTGTGGTGGCCCTCTTTACTATAAGAGATCGGGACATCAGAGTGGGAGGAAAAATCACTTGCTTCCTCAGAGAAGACCTTCCCTTTGTAGTCAAACCTACATTCCGAAATTCTTATTCACTGGTGACTGACAAAAGCTTGGATCGTGAGGATGTCTCAGGCTACAATATCACTATTGTTGCCATGGACACAGGACCACCCAACCTGTCCACAGAGACTGTGATAGAGGTGCTAATATCTGACATTAATGACAATCCTCCAAAGTTTCAGAAAGATTCCTATGTCTTGACTGTTCGAGAAAACAACAGCCCTGCAATTTTTATTGGTAAAGTCCATGCTGAGGATCTAGATTTGGGTGAGAATGCCCAAGTGACATATTCTCTGTTGCCTCCAAAAAGTGGGGATCTATCAGTTTTTGCTTACATCTCCATAAATTCAGATAATGGGAAGCTGTATGCTTTGAGAACTATGGATTATGAAGCCATTCAAGATTTTCAGTTTGTGGTAAAGGCAACTGATGGGGGCTTCCTGACACTGAGTAGCCAAGTTACTGTCAGAGTGGTTGTTCTGGATGACAATGACAACCGTCCAATGATCTTGTACCCACTGCAGAATGGCACTTTGCCCTGCAATGACCTGGTGCCCAGATCTGCAGAGGCAGGCTATCTGGTGACCAAAGTGGTGGCTGTTGATGGTGATTCAGGTCAAAATTCTTGGCTTTCATACCATCTACTTAAAGCCACCGACCTTGGGTTATTCTCTGTTCAGCGACAAAATGGGGAAATCCGAACACTGAGGCAGATATCTGAGAGAGACCCCATGATGCAGAAACTGACTATTCTTGTTCAAGATCATGGCCAACCAGCTCTTTCCACTACTGCCTCACTGAATATCCTGCTGGTAGATGGCTTTTCAGAGCCTTATCTGAGGTTCTGGGATCCATCCAAGCATTCTAAGAAGGTAAACTCAACCACTAAATATTTGGTTATTTCTCTGTCTGTGCTTTCCTTTCTGTTTCTTCTCTCTGTTACAGTGATCTTCATTATTCACATCTACCAGAAGATTAAACATAGAGACACATTCACAATTCAAGAGCATTTCTATGATGACTGTAACTTTCCTAACAACCTGGTACAAGGAGAAGGCAATGGATCCTTATCTCGGCCTTGTACATATGAAATATGCTCAGCCACTGGCACTGGCAATAGTGAGTTCCGGTTTCTTAAGCGCTTTATGCCCAATTTTCCTTTCCCTCATGCCTCTGGAGAGGTAAGAACAGAGGACAGATCCAGTTTACCAACAGATTCTAACAGGAATAGGTCTCGGGGGTCAGAGGACCATACCCAGGTATCTGATGACTATATGTAGCTCACAGTAATAGCCCTTGGTAACAGAAGTGAAACACAATTCTATACTTGGTATGCAAAGCTCTCCTATCCTCACTGAAACAAAAATGGTTGTAGATTACAGTTTTAGCAGACAGAAGAGTACAAGTTTGCTGAAAATGAGAAACCCAGAGTGAGGCTTAACTTACTTAGTACAAAATAGTTATCCTGATGTCTAGTTCATATATCTGTAATCCTGTTTGGAACTGTTTGAAGGAATGTCACCATCTGTAAGAACATATGTGACAGGGACTTCATTTTTATCTCCTCAAACAGGCAAATAATGAATGAGACATTGTTTCCCCCATGAGATTCATTGCAATACTTAATTCTATAAGGATAGCCCTTATTTTGCCTTTATTTTCCAGTAGAAAGGTTGTACATATATAGGTAAAAAGCTTCCAGTTTTGATATATCAGGAAGCAATCATGTTTGACAAAGAGATATAGTTTATTATTCAGAAATTTCTAAATTTTTGTCCCTGATGGGGACCATCTTTGAACCAACATCTTGCATGTCATCATTCATAATTATGAAAATGCCTAGTCAATAGTGGTCTTCACAGATTACCAAGATGGGAAGGAAGGGTAATTCTGATATAAAGAGATTCAGTTCAGGAATGTACTCCAGAATTAATTTTTTAATTTAATTAATTTTTTAATTTAGATATTGATTTCTTAATGATTGTTTGAAGTTTTAAGTAAATCTCAAGTCTTTCTTTCATATCCAGATGTCTATCCTTGCCTTATCAAAGAGCAGTTATTTGAATAAGGGAAATGAAGGGTGAATGAGTATAAAAATAAATTAGGACTGCTGTCCTAAGTGCTATAGAACATTTATTTTGTGCAATTAAGTGCTATAGAAAATTTAAATTATTTTATAATTTGTAGAACAACTAAAAAAATAAAAAGGCATTAAAAGAAAAAAGCTCATTAATACCAATTAAGTGGCCTTAAAAGATATATTTTCAGGTAGTACCAAATTTGATTGCAAGTCATTTTCCTCTGTGAGTATTCTCAAGTGATGATATTAAAAATGAGAAAAAAGGTATTTCCAGTACATCATTCATAAAAGTAGATGGAGTAGGTAAACAAGTTAGTCTTTTTGATCATTATTTTTCCTTCATAAGCTCTTGCGCCCTCTTATTCTAAAAGAAAAGCCAATATCAAAACATCAACAGAACCAATATTACACTCTGGCTTGAAAATTAAGTTAGCTTTAATGAGATTTTAATTTTATACCTTATTTAATACAGGACACATCTTCTTCCAATCTTACAGGAAGGTAAAATATTTGTACCTGGAATTACAGAGTAGTATTCTTAAAATAATTCTCAAACATACATTTATTAAAACATATCATCTTTATTAATATATGCTTCATTTTGGATTTATGACTCATACCTAATGTCACCACACGACTATAGACTTAGTAACCAGAAATATACTAAAATTTAGTGCTGTTATTTCTTAAATGTTGGAGATGCATAGGACAGAATTGGTGTAACCTATTGTTGCCTTCAGTGTTTTCTTTAATATTTTGAGAATAGATGAAGCAAATGCAGAATATCAACAATTTTTATTATTAAATATTTTCCATAAATTGTGTTACAACCCTACTCATTTGCAGTAAAGATCTTTCTTGCACAAAACAAAATAGTGTTCTAGTGTATTTGGATTAAGATCAGTTAGGGAAGGCTGAAATCAGAGACTTTAAGGGAGAAAGAACATAGAACTAATTTTGTATAAAAGCCATAATTACTTACTAAAACATAATTAAATAAGAGCTACCCAACTACTTGTATTTGATTATATTCAATGATAAATAGAGCCTGTCTTAATGTCAAGGATAAGGAAAGAAAATTACATGGAGCAGTGATTTTCAGACTTTGAATTTCATAAAACATTAATTCACACACAAACACAAACAATGGAAAGGGAACACAGATTTATTTTTCCATGTTAAATGAAATAAGACCTGTTATTTCATACTACCATTATTTCATAAATAACTTTTGTTTTACATTTTGAAGATACATTTTATTTCATTTTTTCCTGTGTCCAGAATTAAAAGTGATAAGTCAACTAACATTCTCAGTGTTGATTCTTTATAGAAAATTTTTTAATTGTATGGTCTTTATATGGTCTTTCCAGTTTCTGCAGTTTGATTTTGTGTTTATGTGCTTCTTACTTTTTTTTTTACCAGTTCTTCTTAGTTATACATGACAGTAAGTGAAATAAGCCAATCTCCAAAAAACAAAGGTTGAATGTTTTTGCTGATATGTGGAAGCTAAACCACAATAAAGGGGGGGAGGGAGAGAAAGAAGTTCAGTAGATTAGATAAAAGGGAATGAAAGGAAAGGAAGGGGTTTAGGAATAGGAAAGACAATAGAATAAATCTAATATAATTTTCCTGTGTACACATATGAAAATACCTAAGTGAAACCTATCATTGTGCCCACCACCCATAAGAATTATCTTGGCAGACAATGTCTGCCAAGCTTCTCCACTATTAGTTACTATTTCTCTCCTTGTAATTAATAAGTGCTTGGAGGAAGATACTTTGAAACTTTGTAAATATCATGATTTTGCATAAAATAATAGAATAAGATCAGCATGCTTGTATAATTTTACAAAATGGAAATAAAATTTCAATATAAACGGGAAGACAATAATCTCATGACAAAAACCATTCATTAAATACAAAATATATGGAGTTTTGTGAAAGTTTTGTCTTTTTCTTATTTATGCATTAAACTAGTGAAAATATTGTCACTGAGTTCATATTTGAGTACTGGATTAAATGATGATCTAATCTAATTTTTATCTAGATTTCAAGTTCCCATGAAAATTCCTATTGTACCTGAAAATTAAAAACTATGAAAATCTCTGTATCATTGAACTGAATATGATATGATGAGGCACACAAGCTGAGATTAAGTCCAGGTATCCACAAGCAAATTAAAGAATGGAAATAACTAGGACAATTATTCTTAACAATATGTCAAGTAACATCAGAACTATTTGTATTTATTTAAAGTTGTAAGCCAAGAGCCTTGAAGAGTGTCTTATACAAAATGATTGATATTTAAAAAATTAAAAGTATCTATGTTGCTTAGGCAAATTGCTTCAATTGCCTTTTTAAAGTTTGGCATATAGGCCTACATTTCTACAGGAGAATTTAAACTCTTTACAAAACTTTTAATTGTAATTTTAGACTTACAAAATTGCAAAAATTTTAAAAAACTTAAACTTAAGCTTAAGAGTTCCTATATATTTGTTTGGCTTCCCTTAATATTAACTCCTTACATAACGATAGTGCAATCATCAAAATTAAGAAATTAACACTGGTAAAATTTTATTAGGCTACAGACTTTATTCAGATTTCACTATTATCCCCCAGTGTCCTTTTTCTGTTCAAAGATCCAATCCTGGATCTCATAGTACATCCAGTTGTTTTATAGCCTGAGTCTCTACTATCTGTGATAGTTCCTTAGTCTTTCCTTATCTTTCATAACTTTGAGGCTTTTGAAGAGTACTAGGTCAGTTATCAGTAAAATCTCTCTCAGTTTGGCATTGTTTTTTGTTTTCTCATGATTAGGCTTGGATTAGGTTTTATTAGGAAGAAAACTACAGAAATGTTGTGTCCTTAGAGCATATTATCAGCAGGTGTATGATATCGATATGTCACTATACTGGTGATATTTTTTATTGCAAAAACACAACAAACATTTACTCTATTAACAATCTTTAAGTGTGTATAGCTCAATATTAAGATGATTTCAATTTTTTTGAGGTGCTCAGGATCCAACCCAGTGCCTCATGCATGCTAGGCAAGCACTCTATCACTAAACTACATCCCCGTCCTAAGGTGATGTTAATCTTGAACTCTTGGTTAAGACAATGTCTGCCAAGCTTCTCCACTATTAGTTACTATTTCTCTCATTGTAATTAATAAATGCTTGGAGGAAGATACTTTGAAACTTTGTAAATGTCATGTTTTTGCATAATTTTAATATCCACTGCTGGGTATTTACTGCGGCAGTTAATATTGGGGCATTCTAATGGTGATTTTCTGTTTTCCTGATTCATTTACATTAGTTTTTCTTCCATAAGGAATAATTGTGTCTTCTCCCACACTTACTCAGTTATTACTTCTTTATATATGGACTCATTAATATATATTTTAGTATTGGTGTTATGATCCAGTATATCATCATTTATTTTGTTGTTCAACAAACCCTTTTATCTGAGATGAAAAGTGATTTTTAAAAAAAATATGTTTTAGTTACATATCTTTATTATATTTTTATGTGGTGCTGATGATCAAACCCAGTGCCTCATGCATGGTAGGCAAGCGCTCTACCTCTGGGCCACAACCCCAGCTCAAGATAAGAGTGACTTTTAAGACGAGAAGTAGCCACATAGAATACCTTGAATCAAAATTAGTACTTTTTAAACCCTATGTTAGATTATTTTAAACAAGCATAAATTTCTTTAATCTTGTTAAAATTTAATAACAATGAATATTTTAACTTTAAAGTAAAAGATAGTGACGTGATTTCAAATTTTAATTACAGGTATAAAACTACTAGACATTAAACAATGAAAATTTTAAAATGTTATGCAGATGTGTTTATATATTTATAAGCCATGTATAATACAGTTGTCATTTAAAATAAATTTATATACTGAAATCAAACATACAGATATGTAAGAAATGTAATTGGTTTGTCAGATTTTATGTAATTCTCCTAAAAATAAATAAATATTAATTTTTATGTTTTTCTATTCAAAATGAAATTGTCTCATAGAAGCAAAATTCTTCCATATATAATTTTCCTGAATACACTTTTGCTTTCCACAGAATTTAATATTTTCAGAGTGAGATTAATCGTACATTCTTCAACCAAAAGTTTGACTTAATTTCCAAATCTAGGTAACATTTTTAATAATATTACTTGGGTATATTTTATGTTTATAAAACATTGACATGGACTTAAAGGTGAGAATAACTAAGGGTTCTTTGATCAAGCTTGTGAAATAAATGTATGCATCTGTGTACCACACTCTGCCCTACACACAGAGATTATAGATAACAAATAAAAACAGAAAATTAAATAATGCAAAACAGAAATGGAACAGATAAAATAGTAGGGTTGAAACCCTTGGATTTCTGAGATATAGGATGGGAATCTGACATTGGATGCCATTAGTCTGAGTATTATGGGCTCTCAGGAACAAAATATTCTCTATGAAAGATGGAGAATAAAAGCTACAGTCACTATTTAGGGGATGGAACTAGGGAAGGTCTTTCTTGTTCATACTAGAAGGCTGAAAAACCATTTGCTGGAGATTCTTGAAGCTATTTATTAATATGTTACAGACCCAAGAAGGCTAGAAAATTCTGTGGTCAACAAGATCAATGAAGTCATATATACTATTTCTGGTATCATGATGGCTGGGAAACCTAAATCATTATTATAAGACATAATTCTAGACCATGTTCAAATGGTGTAGGAGATGAACAAAGGTGAGGAGAGGAAGGAAGTAGAAAATAACAGTTTTTAAGAGTACCACTTGTTATGTTTTAAATATGAAGTTCATGTATAAGAGAGTGCAAGACTTTTAAAGATAAAACTACTAGATTATTAGAGTTAAAGCCTAATCAGTGGATTAATACACTAATACAGATTAACTGGTGGTGATTATAGGCAAGAAGGGTGTAACTGGAGGAAGTAAGTACCTGGAGATATGACTTTAGGGTTTATATTTTGTCCCTGGTGAGCAGAGCTCTCACTCTGCTTTCTGGTTATCATGAGCTGCTTTCCTCAGCCATGCCCTTCCACCATGATGTTCTGGTTCACCTTTAGCCCAGAACTATGTAGTTAGACAACCATAGACTAAACCTTTGAAACCATGAGCCCAAAAGAAACTTTTCATCCTCTAAGTTGTTTTTGCCAGGTCTTTTGATCTGTGATGAAAAAGCTGAGAAAAACATTCAAAGACTGTTTAAGATGCTTGCAAAAATGAATTAAGACATTACACTCATAAAAATAACTACAAATTATGAAGTAAACAAATAAAGACAGCTAACAAGAAATTTTAGAAATGAAACATGTTCATAGTAATAACACTTCATCAGATGGCATAAAATTTAGGTCTGAAGCTATTGAAAGACAAATTAACAAACTGGTATATAACTAAGGAATTCATCAATATCACAGATAATATAAAAATTATGAAAGTGTAGTTAAAGACATTAAACTTATCTTCTGTTATGTGGTAAGCCACACCAAATCCCGAGGCATAAAACAGCCACTGTGTTATGTTTATAGACACTGTGTATCAGGAATTCAGATAAGCCTCTATGATGCATAAGGCCTCAGCTAGAAAACTTGAAAGGCTAGGGATGACAAAGTGGTTATGAACTTGTGTCATCTGGAGGTGACTTCCCTTACATGACTGCTGCTGGCAATCAAAGAGAATACTTCCAAAAAAATTTGCATGTGTCTTACTTAGGTGGCATGGGTTTCTTTACTACATGGAGGCTGGGATCCAAAAACGGCATCACTTTCACTATAGTTTCTACTGGGCAAGCAATCACAGAAACAAGATTAGTGAAAAGGACACAGAATTGAATAGAGGAATGTTAAAGAATTTTGGGATCATGATTTTTTTTTATTCTAGGGATTGAACCCAGGTGTGCTTCACTACTAAGCTACCTCCCTAGCCCATTTTTTATTTTGAGACAGGGTCTTACTAAGTTGCTTAGGACCTCACTAAGTTGCTAAGGCCTTGAACTTGTGATCCTCCTGCCTCAGCCTCCCAAATTACTGGGATTACAGGCGTGTACCACCATACCGAACTATGGAGCCAGGTTTCAAAAATGCCACATAAGACATGAAATATGGATTGAAAAACTTCAATATAGTACCAATAGAGGTTCCAGAAATAAAGTTAGAAATGATGGAGAAGTTAGTTAGTTCTGGTTCTTGATAAGATGGCAAATTAGCATGGGCTGCAGATACCCTTCTTCTATATCAGTGTGAAAGAACAATATATCAAAACATTACAGTGTCTGCGAAATAATGGGGAAACCCTAAGAAACTCCTAGGAAGGCTGAAGGCTGTTTCATACTAGCATACTAAAGGCTTGATGAAGGCTGCAACCTGGGAAGGAGGGAAGTTATAATGTCCATAATATGATAAATTAAAAATAAATCTCCTACCTTTGGCTTTGGACAATG